CGTAATTCACAGCCGTGGAAATAAAAGAGGCTTTGCCGGAACGAAGACCGTGTTTTATGCCGGTCAGAACCGTATGCCTCCCACCCCCCTTTGCTGGCTTCTGCCCCCAGCCGGGAGAGGAAAGGCCGAGGATGCTCAGCCTTGAGAAGGGCAGCCAATCCGCCCTGCAGCTCACTCCCATCGCCGTCTTTCAGGCCTCGACGCCAACGGGAAATCTCCCAGCCGAACGGAGCTCCGCCACCTCTACCTGACGGAGAAGTACGCCTGGAAGTGGAAGCAGTTCATGAGCAAGCGGGGGAAGAGGACCTGCCCCCCTGGACCTCAAGCTGGGACACAACAATTGGCTGCGGCAGGTGAGACACACCCACGCACGCATGGGGGTGGGGAGGAGGAGGAAGAAGAGGAGGAGGTGAAGGAGTGGAGGAAGAAGGAGAAGAGGAAAAAGGTGAAGGAGGAGAAAGAGGAGGTAGAGGAGGAGAGGAAGAAGGGGAAGGAGAAGGAAAAGGAAGAGGAGAAGAAGAGGAAGATGGAGGTGAGGAAGGAAAAGGAGAAGAAGATGAGGTGGAGAAGGGAAAGCCGAAGGAAAAGGAGAGGAAGAGGAAGGAGGAGGAGGAGTGGAAGAAGAAGAGGAGAAGAGGTAGAAGGGGAAGGAGAGGAAGGAGGAAGAGGAAGGAGGAGGAGGAGAGGAAGGAGAAGGAAAAGGAAAAATGAAGGGAGGGGAAGGAAAAGGAGGAGAAAAAGAAGGAGGAGGAGAAGAGGAGGAAGGGGGAGGGGGAGGAAGAAAGGCCAGGTGCTTGGAGAAGCCAGTGCCCAGAAGCAGAGCCATCCTGAGGGCCGGGGAAGAAGATTCTCCACGGAATGAGGCGGGATCCATGCCACGTGAGGGCCCAGGGGGCATCGCCTGCCTTCTCCTTCCCCCGTTTCCAGGTCTTGTTCACCCCAGCAACCCAAGCAGCCCGGCAGGCGGCTTGCACCATCGTGGAAGCCCTGGCCACCATCCCCAGCCGCAAGCAGCAAGTCCTTGACCTGCTGACCAGGTAAGGCCCAGGGCAGGTGCGGAAGGGGGGGCCCTACTGCCCCCCTTCGGCTTTCTGACTTCTGGATGTCGTCGTTCTTCTCCTCCTCTTCCTCCTCCTCCTCCTCCTCCTCCTCCCTTCTTCCTGCCAGCTACCTGGACGAGCTGAGCGTGGCGGGAGAGTGTGCCGCAGAGTACCTGGCCCTCTACCAGAAGCTCATCAAGCCAGCCCGCTGGAAGGTCTACCTAGCAGCCAGGGGCGTCCTGCCTTATATCGGCAACCTGATCACCAAGGTACGGAGCCCTGTGGGAGGGGACTCCGGCCCTCTGGCTCCGTTTTGAAGCAGTAAAAAAAAAACCCCTCCCTGCTTTGGAATCTGGTTGATCCTCCAGAGGATTCATTGGCTCGTCCCAACAAAGGACAGCGGACGGGGAAGATGGGTAATGGAGTCTCAAAAGAGCTGGAAAAGCCACGGCTTGCTCCTTGAGACATTTAGCTCAGACTCTGGACGGTTAAAAGGAGCCCCTTTTTGGGGGGTGGGATGCTCAGCCTCCCTCGCTCCCAGGGGGCAGTTTTGGTCCGTCTTCCTTCCTTCCTGGCCATTCTGGGCCTCTTCAAGGCTGGACACCTCTCTTGTTCCAGGAAATCGCCCGTCTCCTGGCCCTGGAGGAAGCCACGCTCAGCACCGACCTGCAGCAGGGCTACGCTCTCAAGAGCATCACCGGTAGGACAGCCGCAAGGGATTCCCCCCACCCACCCCCCATGCCCACCCATCTCCCCTTGGGTTTCCCTGGGCTCTGGGCCCCCCGGCCAGCCCCCTGTGGCTCAGCGGCCATCCCTGCCCCTCTCCTGCCAGGCCTCCTGTCCTCCTTTGTGGAAGTTGAGTCCATCAAGCGCCACTTCAAGAGCCGGCTGGTGGGGACAGTGCTGAACGGCTACCTCTGCTTGCGGAAACTGGTGGTGCAGCGCACCAAGCTGATCGACGAGACCCAGGACATGTTGCTGGAGATGCTGGAAGACATGACCACAGGTAGACGGCGTGGGTGGGGGAGAGCCACCATTGGCTTGGTTCGGCCAGGGGGGGAAGAAGAAAGAAGAAGAGTCTGCCTAAGGAGCAATGTTCTCTCTACTTGAGATAGCAAGGGCCCTGAGACTTATATACCGCTTCACAGTGCCTTCACAGCCCTCTCTAAGCGCTTGACAGAGTCAGCCTCTTGCTTCCCCCAACAATCTGGGTCCTCGTTTTGCTCACCTCGGAAGGACAGAAGGCTGAGTCAGTCTTGAGCCGGTCAGGATCGAACTGCTGCCAGTGGGCCGAGTTTGCCCGCAATACTGCATTCTAACCAGTAGGAGGGAGGGTGGGAGGGAAGGTAGCAATAGCCCTTAGATTTATATACCACTTCCCAGTACTTCCCAGCCCTCTCTACACCGTTTACGGAGTCAGCCTCTCGCCCCCAATAATCTGGGTCCTCATTTTACTGACCTCGGAAGACTGGAAGGCTGAGTCGACCTTGAGCCAGTTGGTCAGGATTGAACTGCTGGCAGTGGGCAGAGTTAGCTTGCAATATTACATTCTAATCACTGGGAAGGAAGGAAGGAAGGAAGGAAGGAAGGAAGGAAGGAAGGATGAGGAAGGAAGGGGGGAGAGAAAGGAAGGAGAGGAAAGGGGGAAGGAAGGAAGGAAGCAAGGAAGGAAGGAAAGAAGGAAGGAAGGAAGGAAGGAAGGATGGGCAAGATGAGGAAGAAAGGAGGGA